GAGTATTTTCAAACATGTGACATAGAAAAATTCTCATTTCCTATAAGGAACGTTGCGTACTGTGATTATATAAACTAGCAAAGTAGAAACTTTAAGCCATGAGAATAATTCACCTTGAAAGTGAGCTATTATCATTCCTGTTATTCACCTCAGTTACTTTGATCAAGAAAAAACATTTCCCCTTTGTAATTTATCACAGATAAAATGAAAAATAACTGGCATTCTACTCTATTATTCTCTACAGAATAGGAACTTGAACAGATAATAATATTTTGTTTTATTCCTTCACGTTCCCAGTGGAACATAGGCCTTCAAGCTTGAAGTTTCGGTAGCAGTGGTGTTTATTTTTACGGGGTGGGATTCCTAGTTTCCCGCTCAACCTTCCCTCTTGGCCAGGCTTATTATCAGCCAAGTGAAGTGTGGGAGTGCTTCAGCCGGGGATTGAACCCCGAACCACCTCAATGGCTGGCGAGCATTCTATCTCTGCGCCATCGACATATTATTAATAACAATGAGTAAGACTCATTATATTTAGCTCTGAAGTTGACTGAATTCCACTGAATCACGGTTAGGATTAGAGGACATAGAATAAAATAAACTCTGTCTGGCTAAACTTCTAAATATTATAAAAAATTGGTCGAAAAGACACAAGACTGATAAGATCAGAATAACATCAAAAAATAATTTCCTTATTTCACATATCCTACGCATTTTTGTGAGTCTAATTATAGTTTTATTTCGTTGTAAGTTGAGGAGCATAAATCCGATTCAAAAAAATGTCTTATGAAGGGTCTTTTAACAATCTCTGAAATAAATAAAGCAAAAACAACAACAACAACAACGATTTGTGAAGAATAAGATGGTAGGTATCGTCATTTATTTCGTCTGCTTATTATTAATTACTTTCCGCTTAAAACATTTAATCAAGTTTTTAGAGATTAAGGGTATTGACGTTTACGGATAGTACGAAGTATACTAACGCAAGATCTCATACCCACAACCTCTATAGTATTCGTTCTGCGTAGACCAAAGGCAAAACAAAACACCAGAACTGACCGTCCAAATTACGAGTTATATTTCGGGACCAAATTGGAGTGCGAGATGATTACTTAACTAGGTAGGGATTGTGCACGAACAAACGAAAGCGTACCGCATGGCGCGGATGCCTGACCGGAAGCCTTCGGTTAAACAAGTTGACTTAGACAGCGAGGGTCAGCATCCAATGTCCAGTGATGTATGCTGTGGCCAATAATTCTGGAGAATTACTTACCGCTACAAGTTTATGTACACAGCAACTTCAATGTACCTATAGAGATGACATGATATCAGTTAACAGGAGACTCCAAAATTAATAAATTGTGCTCAGTAATAAATAACTCCAAATCATGGAATACTCAGATTAGATCATAGGAAAATTGAAAAGGTGGTTACAGTGAAGAAAATTTGCTTTTCGAAGAAGTCATCAAATAGACTGTACATTCATGTGCATATGATGTAAATTGGTCTGAAAGTCTAAGCACCACTTCCCGTATAGGGGCAAATTAACAAGATTACAAATAGGGATTAGAAGCGTAGTCATAATAAAATAGACAGGAAGTTCGGATAAAAACATGGTATTGCAAATAGGGACTAAAAACCGTAAAAATAAAACAGAAATAAACAGTTGAATTTAAAAAAAGTCCTTCAAAACCCTATACATGCTTCGGCCAAACCTCTCAAAGAGAAACAGATCAATGCATCTTGGCATAGCTGGGTCTCTAGACATTCTAAAGTTCAAACCTGAGCTAAGTATTCAAAAGAAATACCTCCAACCTTTGTCTTTACTATTGCCATCAAAAACAGTCATTTCTCTCAATAATGATTATCCCATTACGTTTCTTATTCAGTCTTTGAGCTTATTTTGTTATTATTACATGTTGGTCCCTGTTTGTAATCTTGTTGATTTGACTCTCGATCGGAAACAGTTGTGAAACTTTCTGACCCATTTACTACAATATATGTATGACTGTACAACACAGCTGAAGACTTCGTCGGAAAGAAAGTTTTCTTCACTACAACCGTCTTTATAATTTTCCCTGTCAATTTGTATGATTTGAACACATAGAAGGTTTAAATTTACACAGAACAAATGCCAAAAATATAATAAATATTTGGACTCAATGGAAAAGGAGTTGCGTAATAAAAACAAGAGGTGGACAAGATAATAAGTAGTGAGTTCAAATCAGATTAGAGTATTTGATGATCCTTCTATGTTTAAGTTATTTAAGAGTAATTTCCCAGCACTTTTAATTAGTTCTGGAGTCTCCTATTAAATGACATCATGTACTTTAAAACTGTTGTGTTTATGAAGTCAATTAACTGTTTTAGGCTGTACGCAGTGGGTGAGAAACCGACGAAATAAACGATGATACCTACCATCTTGTTCTGCCCAAATTGTTGTTTTTGTTTTATTCAGGTTCATAAAGTGGAATGAGTGTATGAAATCTGTGATATCTTTATCTTTACTCACTATTTTCGTGGAGTGTTTAGTTAGATCAATCAAGAGTGAAGATTTTGGGTAGACGATTTGAAAATTTAACAATGCAATATGTTTTAACCTTCATATTTCTTCATTTGCTCTACTAATTTTCATTTGCTTTATATCTTTATAAATTATCATAAACTTTTCGAAACTGATTACCCTTTCGTCATCTTGTTTGCACCAACTACAATCTGCTAGTTATTATTATTATTCGTTCCAGGTGGAATATAGGGTTTCGATGGCACATATCTATGGCACTGCATTTTCTTCCATCAGTTTCAGCTGGTTCCGCGAACGCCCACAAGCCTCCATATCTCCTGTTCATGTGATCTCCTTTGTGTCACCCTCGAACGCCCAGTCCGTCACTTCCTATTCGAGTTTTACCCAACGGATGTCACTTGATGGTCTTCTCAGTGTAGACCAAATGCATGTCCATTTCCTGCTGCATATTTCTTGGGTAATAGATTATTGGCTATTTGTCTGCTAGAGTTCCTTGTCGCCCGCACTCTCTGGCCATCTGATCTTCAGAATCGATCTAAAGAGAGGGGAGCAGCTGCTCATGAAGGTTTTCATTAGCATATTGCCAAGGCTTTTGTTGGTTCGCACCGATTCATTGAGTCATGCAGAATCATTGACTTCATATTATTGTTAAAAATCCAGATTTTTATTCCTTCTGTTAAATGTTATAGATCTTCACGCTGATTTCAGAGAACTGAACACCTGTCTGGATTTTCTGATTCTCTGCCAGTTATAGACATTTTGTTGTGTAGTGTTATCTAGGCCACTTATATCCCCGGCTGATAATATTAGCCTGTAAAACTTGCTTCATCGAGTATGTATCCGCATATATTCAAGTGCTATTTCTGTTTTTATCTGAAAAATTCATAAACTTTCACATCTAGGGTCCTGAATTTCATTCTTTGTATAATTTCGACTTGGAGTAGCAGATGTGAAACTATGGACAGCAATAAATCTGTCTTATTTTAAAACCAACATAATCCTACTTATTGAGAAAGTAAACAAAAATCAGGGAGATCAAAATATCTGTAGATTATGACGTTAGTGTGGATTTAAATTAATTTCATTCGTTAGATTTCATCATGAACCAACATTGGTTAGCGAGATTAGTGAAAATTTCGAGAGCACTGAACAGCTGTTTCGTCCTATCCGTTGAATACTCATCCGTGAGCTCCTGCAAACCCACCAGGAATCCAGCGCTAGACCTTCAGGTTACGAGACCAAGCCAGTTGACCATTCAGCCATTTAGGCTGGAATTCACTGACTCGTGAATTCTAACTCTACCAGTTCTTGACATAAAGTTAGCCCCAACCAATGCCTTCAATGAGCATCCACTCCACCTTGACGTGCTAGATCCAACTGATCACGACTTCTCACTACAGCTTCAGGACATCCATCTAGAAGAGTCCCGGAGTAAGACAAAACAGCTGTTCGGTGCTTCTTGGTTTTCAATGATCTGTCTAACTGACGCTGATTCGTGGTGAAGTCTACCACTTGGAGTCAAAATTTCTGTCATAATAGCATTTGAAAGAAGAGATGCATATCTGAAGTGGTACCCTTTTCTAAGCAGCCAAATATACTCTACTGATGAGAGTCGGAAAGCCCACAAATTGTCTCCACTCCATTAAGATCACAGCTAACATTAATTCCCTTGAAAACATTCTAATTAAGAAATATAACCAATCGGTTTGTATCCGTTTGGAATGATTAAGTTTTTCATTTGTTAAAAATATTTTAATACATGAAACCCATTATTGTCAGGTGGTTGGAGGTAATCGTTAGGAAGCCTTGGGTCTCGGTTTTGCTCTTGCGCTCACCAGCCAGCAAGAAGAATCTGCACTCCTGAAGGATCTCACATGCCTTCTAAGATTCGAACATGGGTCACCCAGTACTACAGTCAGAGATGTTACCAATGAACTATTCGCGATTGTGATTGACCTCCTTTAGGAGTGTATTGGATACTTTGACTGGACACTAGGTGGTAACTAATATCATGCATCTGGTCCTTTGTTTGGCGCAGATTTAATTCTGTCTGTTACAGGATCAGAAGGGATATAGGTACCCTTAAGGCTGCAGATACGCCTTGCTGGCTAGTGACTGTGAAAAAGCGCGAAACCTAGATCCAAGGCTTCCTACCGATTGCCTTCAACCACCTAACAACAACGATTGAGAGTGCACTTTAATGGTGAGCCACCTAGTAGTGTCGCCACATTCCAATCTTGACTGACAGAATTTAGTCTGCACCAACCAAAGGAACAGACTCATGGTATTAGTCACTACTTAGTTTCCAAACAACGTGAAACGTATGTTATTAACATTTCCTAGCCAATAAAATAGGATTGAAGTTGTAAATTCTTATACCAGTCTAAAAACTTATCCTATCATGAAATACACTGCTGAATAACATCCTATAATTGACCTAATGACTTATAAAAATGAAGTATTTCTTAACGCATATATGTATGTGTATTTCTTCTTCTCACTGAACACATATTTTACCTTGTAACATGTCCTCATAAATTAACCAATCACCTTGAAGGATTGATTCATTTGGTCAAGGTTAAACTTTTTATGGCCGTACAAATTCAGTGATAGGCAAATTCTCAGACAATGGTAGTTCATTTTTGTTTTGGGATTATTCTAACGACAACTATTTCATCAGTGCATTACTTGGAATGTCTTGTTTAAATTTATTTAAATTATCAAAAAATAAATCAAAATGTGAAATAATTAAAAAGCCAAAGAAAATTAAACAATCGAAAGTAAGTTGCTTTTTGTGTTGATAATGCGAGAAACCATGCCTCTTTATACTAAGTTATTCTCTAAAGATTACAGTTATGGATGGTGTAGCTGTTAAGTAGAAACTGAGGGAAATTAATCATTAAATTTTAAAGATAACACCAGACTACAGAATATTTGCTATTCCTAGATTAAATTGTTATTTTTGTCGAAAAACAATGAAAATCGGGGTTTTCGTATGACTTTTAAGTTTCTGACAAATAAATAGACTAATAGGACTGGATTCATAAGATGTAGTCTTATTGTGCTTCACTCTGTTTTCGTGAAGAATTACTTTTGAATGATTGGAACCCTGGCTGGTACGTACTGATGAAGAGTCTCACACTAGGGTGACATCACCCTCCAGTACTCCCAGGTTTTCCAATGGTTCCCTAACTGATTTCAACTCCTGATCAAACCTGTAACCAATCAAATACCTCTAAACCAACACTCAATAATTAATCTGATGCTCACTAGTGACTGGCTCAATACAGACAGTTACCTGGAGTTCTAGTGGAAATTCGTAACCAGTGGGGTCCACTAATTCAGATAAGAGAACAGTCAATCGCTTATCACACTGGCTGATGGCTGTGTTATATATATTGCGGAATGGCAGAATTTAGAATTCATGGATCACTGAATCAGGTTTCGATGGCTGAATGGTCTACGAGCTCGCCTTGTATCCGGAAGATCCTGAGTTTGTACCGCGACGGGTGCGTACTGTTAAGGAATCCCGAACTAGAACGAAACAACTATACAGTCCTCTATGGATTTCCAGTAGTTCCTTAACTGATGTTAGCTCATGATTAAGTATGAATTTGTTCCGTTTTCGTTTGCATCAAATCACTGTTTAATATCCTCGATGTTAGGGTTTATAGTTATTTGTCCCATGTTTGCAGTTTGAAAACAAGAATCTTCTGATCGCCCACCATTCCACTTACTATTTAAATTTCTCTATGGTGTACTAATGGAGGTTACTGTAGATAAACAGGATGTGTAGACACAAGCAGCTGCAGCAGGTGGTATCAAACTCATAAATCATATAGTCTTGTTAAGCAAAGATGCTGAGAAAATTCAACCTCTTTTATACTTCTCGAATAAAAACAGGAATAATTTTGGTATGTATATGAATTCTCCTAAATTCAAGTTAATAGACACTTTATTACTGCTTTTGGTAAGTACCTATTTCATGAATGACCAAATGGAAATTCCATCAGCCCTATTTATAGTTAGGATGTGATGAAGTATTTTTTATATTTCAAATTCTTTACCACCTGTTGTAAAGTTAAGATATTAAGGGCACAATGTATTGTGCCTTTTTCCTGCTTTATGACTATGAGATGTCACCCCTGAATTTGTAAGGTACAATGATGTTAACGATTTAGATTGTAGTTTTCTTTGTGAAGTTAGAGAATAATGAACCAAGATTGTGACCGACTCAGTAACCCTGACCCCGCCAATACCAGTAACGTAGGCTCAATTAAGTAGAAAAGCAAAATAGGAAATATAAGTGTCAACATATTTGAAAGTTTCCCTATCTTCACTAACTTCCAGTTCCTGAAATTAGTGTCCGTATTCATCCAAATCACTCTAATTTACGTTCGACCACTAGAGTTACAGGAATATATTGAGAGTTATAATCCTATAGGAATGGGAGTTAGGGATAGGATTTGGTTTTATTCATTTTTCCCTAGATCTGATCTACTTCATAAATCCCAAAGAGAATTCGTTGGTAATATTAAACTTGATCTCTCCTTCATGACCTGATCATTAATTACTTAAACTTTTATGGATTGCTACAAAATCATTGAGTCGTTCATTCATTCACTTAAATCATATTTCGATTATAAGGTTTTGTAGAGATCTCGATTAACTCCAAAGTAGATTTTGTGACGAACCAGCATCACTTACAGGACACTGGAAAACTGTTTCGTCCCAGTTTTGAACTCTTCAGTGGTCGAATGCGAAACCCTTAAGTTACCAGAGCAAGCTCGTTGATCATCCAATCACTCGGGTTGGAATCCAATGACTCCTGAATTCTGATTTCGTCAGTTCGAGATATAACTTTTGAAGGTATTGGTTGAGAGTCGTGGGTGCCCAATGTTGAAGAGTCCTAAACTAGGGTGAAACGGCTGTACAGTGTTCCCTGATTTCCACTGAACTTTGACTGATGTCGGTTCATGACGAAATCCACTTTGAATTGCTTAAATTAGCATACATTAAGTTCGCCGCTATTTTCATAATATTGTTCCTATGTAGAGGAATCATAAATTACTTTGATTAAAATTTTTTGTTGAATCGATTCCGCCTAAAATAATTTTTCGATATATTAAGGGTAGGAAATTTTTGTTGGTTTTCTTATTCAATGAATGATGTGAACGTGGTTTGACTTCGATGTTCAGTTAATGAAGTCATTAGTTATTGGGGAATCAGCTTTTGGAAAACGTTCACAGTGGGAAACCATTTACAAAAATCGATTATTTACTAACATCAGATAATTTTGCTTCACCTTATACCTTTTATGTTTGCTGAATATGTGTACTTTTAATTCGTTAATATAAAAAATGAAATTCTTTTGAACTAAAACGTTGAATAAAACTTTTATGTAAACACTTTATTCATTACAAGAGGTTAACCGTCATCCTGAATAGCTAAGGGGTAACGCTTTTGACTTCACTACTAGGTGATAAAGGTTTGAATCTCAGAGGGGACATCAGTTTCCTTGGGTTTGTAGATACACCTTGCTGACGAGTGCTGTCAAGCACGAAAACTAGGTCCATGGCATCCTAACTATTTCATTTGTCAGATTTTCCTCATGATCCAACATCATTTAGAGAGACCATTGAAAATCAAGGAGCACTGGACAACTATTTCGTCCTATCCTGGGACTGTTCAGCAGTGCGCACTCACGACCCCACCAGGGATCTAACCGAGGACCTTCAGGTTACGAGACCATTCAGATACTTGGGCTGGAATTCAGTGACCTCTGAATTCTAACTCTGTCAATTTCTGATATATCAAGCCATATCATAAATCATGCCATACGTTGCTATATCCTACCTATTGCCATCAACACACTAACTTTGTAGACTGTTACATTTGCGTTTAAATTAGTTGGGTGTAATAAATCTGCTTAGTACTTTACAGTTGACAGGATGAAAAGAAACTGAAGCAATCATAATTGCATGACGATATATACTACTGATTGATATCAGTAGTTGAAGAACCACTTATCATAACCAGCAAGACTTTTTATTTTTTTTCTATCTTATTATAGTTTGATTCCACACAGTATTTTTGGTACATATGTGGAATTTTCAGCATGTGATATCGGCAGCCCAAATTTAGCAGGCCAACCAATGATATCAAGTGTACATCGGCCGGGGATCGAACCCCGGAATATGTGCATGGTCGGCGAGCGTCCTAACCTCTGTGCCACTGACGCTAATCAGAACGAAATGATCTAAAGGCCAAAGTGCCGTTTGGTATGTTTGAAGTCGAGCTCATCAGAGATGTACTCGGAATGGTTCAACTCAGAAATCCGAATCAGTTCAAACCATCTTAGTTCTTACTAGCCGCTTGGAGGAATTAGTAGTAATAGATAGAATCAAATTCGCAATTTGCGATCTATATAATTGGAGACGAAATTTTGCCTTGATTCCCTTTGGAAACCCAAAATATTCAGATCAGGAAATCTGATCTACTTAAATGGTAATCAATAAAGCAAGTATAATGACATGGTGGTACATACTACTGATTTAGACTGAATTGTTACATGGTTTTCTCACAGGATAAAGTTGGTGGTTCATTGGTGAAATGCTCGCCAACCACGGTTGTGGTCTTGGTTCGGTTCCAGGTGGAACGCACTCCTACACCTTGCTTAGACAGTAGTAAGTCCAGTAAAGCGGGAGAATTGGGCGTGAGGCTAAGGACCTCACTCCATGAAATGAACACTAGTGAAAATTCGAAGCTCAAGCTTAAAGCCTAATGTTCCACTCGTGACACAAAGGAATGAATCTTCCACTCAGGATAGGCTCTTAAAAAGTATTGGGTTTAAGTTTTCTCTATTAGTAGAATCAAGGTTTACTTCTGTATTGCATAAGAAAGTATCCAATGAAATCATATGCTGAAGCTCACGTTAGTTATGATCTTATACTACTCATATCGATAAAAAAGCAATGTTTCACAATACAAGTACTTTCTGACTACAAATAACTTTGGTTTCTCAGGATACTAAATCACTGAAATACACTTAGTGATAGAATTAGTATCACTTATCAGTATTCTCTCTCATAAAAATTTTCTCAAACAATGTTTTCATTTATTTTCACCGTTCAATTGACTTATCCCAGTGGGTGCGTACTGCCGATGATTCCCAAACTAGGATGAAACAGCAGCTGTCCAGTACTCCCTGGTTTTCAATGGTTCTCTAACTGATATCAGTCCGTGATCAACTCGTAAAACATAACTAATCCTTACAAACCAAACTATAGAAAATTATCAACATAAAACTGCACAAATGTGCATCATTTCAAATTGATACACTTCAGAAAAGTATACGACAGTAGATCGAAAAAAGCGTGGTGAAACTAAAATGGGATTTAGGCAGAATATTGTAAGTAGGTGAAGGTGGGTCAGAAATTTATAGGCTTATGGAGGTGTATGTGTATGTAGGCGGTTGTTATCTGTCGGCTGCCCACACTTTGTAAGTTTGTTTCATCTTCAAACTCATCTGAAAGAGAAAAGAACTAGTGTTGAAGTGGATCATACACACACACACACACACACACACACACACACACACACACACAGTCTGCTTCATTTTTTTTTGTGGCCAAGTTAGAGTTGCTTACAATTTTGTAACAATACTTTAAGCATTCGGTTGTTCTTTCACATTAAACTCAGCCCACTCAGTCCCTTGTCATATATCGGGACGTTCAAGTTGTAAAAATAAGTTCTGTCATTAGCAAGTAGATAGGTTAGT